CTACATTTTTTCATCGAAAGGAAACCTCCCAAAAGTTATATCATTCGAATACTCATCGAAAACACTATGTAATGATATGAAGGGTAAGTCAGGAATTTTCCTCATTATTACTTCCAATTTTGGCACTGCCTGCCTTCTCTTCCCGCGAACACTCGACCGGCGAGCTAATTAGCCGTGTCACCGTGGCCGATGACCTAAGCATCTTACACCACAATTGCCGTAGGACCTCTTTCACATCCCAACGGACGCCCAACAGTCCGCAACAAGATGGTTACAGGATACTGCATCAATCGAAAAAAAATTTATTTCCAAATTCTTGCATATCTCAGTAAATCACAAGCCATAAAAAAGAAAGTAGACCAAATTTATCGTCCTTCATATATGTTCCTTCCTTCTTCTTGGACAACGCGTTCCATCTTCTTGCGAATCCCAAGGATGTACCTCTCGCACACTTCAGGTGTAAGCGTCTTCCAAAACGATGAGGCTGCTTCTCTCAAATCTTTGACAGTACGGACGTTTCGTTTCCTTGAAATGACTCCTCATTCACTCGACTAAGAATTAAATGCGAATGGTCAATTGCTCTATATCATTCGAAAAGGAACAGAACCTGATGTATGCCTTCATGCTGCCCCACACAAGCTCGATTGGGTTCAGGTCAGGCGACTCTGGAGGCCACTCAAACAGCCGGACTTTCCACATTCGTAAGCGCTCAGTGGTGTAAGCGCTCTTGTGTGCAGGCGCGTTGTCTTGCACAAGAGCTCCGTATCCTTGAAATTATGGGATCGTGAGTCTCCCCTTTCAACATTACTGACTTTCAAAGAAAGCTTACTGACCGTTGTAGATGTTCTTGCAAAATGGGATGTAGCACCGCTCCAAAATCTGGCAGTACTTCTCGCTATCCATTCTCGTGGTACCGGGAAATACGGCAAGAGCAGTTGCTCCCCTCACTGATATTCCTCCCCAAACATGGAGCTTTGCAGGATGTTTCGCTCTGGATCGAAGTCTTGCGAAGAAAGCGCCTTTTTTCACGTAGCAGTACTTAACGCAGCAATCGACTGAAAAATTTCCTTCATAACTCGCGTCTATGTACAAGAGCTGTCCAGATAATACTCAGAAAACGCACCCTGTATTGTCGACTCGTCTGAGAAGATGCACTGGCTGAAATCTTCGTCCGATTCTATCATTCTTCTGCAGAAATCCCACCTCTTCTCCTTGTTGGCGTCCCTAATCAGGTGACAGTATTTTGTCGTCGTTCGACGATACCCTAGCTTCACCCTCAAGCGAGAAACGTGTGATCTGCTGATCAAGATATTTCTCTCTCGAAGGCGTCTCATCACTAGGGAAGAAGTAGCCGAGGAATTCGCTGAGTAGCTGTCCTCAATAATTCTTTTTATCGTAGGCAGTACTGCGCGAAATTTTCGGGCTCGATAGGGAGCAGCACGAGTTACTCGGTAAGAGTAATGCTTCCGTAGAAATGATCGAATCTTGTGATAGGTCACTGTAGAGTCCAACATACTGAGCTTCCTGTGTATTTCCGAGATGGACATCCCGGAGCGGTGCATGGGGTAAATAATGTTAGAATAACGAATAAGCGACATAGTGCGCAATCGGTATGGCTGTTGAATGAGGACAGGGAGAGCTTTTAAAGGTGGCTTTGAACGAGGGCGTGACCCTCGAAGCAAAGAATCATGCACCTCAGGACTCACCATCGGGAAAACCCCGCGTAAAAGTGCTTCCAGAAGAAGCAAAGGAATCTAGATTCCTCAAAGCAAAGGGTCATACAGCCTTTGGTTAATCATGGTGCTAGATTAATCCCACAAGGAGAAGAAGTGACCTTCAAAGCTAAAGGTCATATCCTTCGGGGCTCACCGTGACTAGAGCACGGCATCAAACTGCTTCCAGCCAGTCCTTAGAGCCTATAAAAGAATGGGAAGTTTGAGCTTTATGATCCATCGACTATGGCTAAACCGACGCACGCGATCGTCTTTTTCACCCAGTCGAAGACAGCTGATATAGTAAAGCTATCAGCTATTTCTGGCGACTGCACAGTCAACAAAACAGCCAAGGTCCGTTGGCACAAGAAGACCTACAGCGCAAAGGTACCGGATTCTTCTTTCTATCTTTGCATCCCCTGACGACTTTTTTTCAAGGTAGTATATATCGCTTCAAAGGCCGAATGTGAAGAGAAGATAGTGGATGTTACTGAAGACGGCACTATTCTGGAGAGGTTCTTCACCGTTACAGAGAGCACCGTTTCCAATGCTGCTACGAATTGCGCTGATGGTGAAAACAGCGACTCCGTGCTGGAAGCAATCAATCGGATGAAGGCAAGCACGGATGAGCTGATGGAGCAGGTGATGCTGATGAGGAGAACTACAGCCGGCGCTCTACGCGATTTTGAGATCAAGATGCAAGGCTGCTTCGCTCGTTTAGAGCGACGCATGACTTCCTTGGAGGCGTCAATGGAAGAAATCAAATTGAAGGAGAGAAATGAAACGGCAGGTGGGCGGTTTTCCTCTTCAAAAAAAAACTGTTGACTGAAAAATTGCATCCAGAAGACGGTATAGACTACTCATACCTCTCTCGAGATCGTGTCGAAGCCCTGCTCTCTTTGAAGTGCGGCTCAATGACGAAGTTTGCTCTCGCACTAGAGCAAGAACTATACAAAGACCGCGTTTCGGAATTTCGACTAAATGTGGAAAACAGAACGTTAACGGCAGGAAGAGTGCAGTTCATACGAGAGGTGAATCTTGTTGTAATGCAAGTAATTGAGGAGCATCACCTTGCGCGGACAAGCAACTCCATTCTAGGTAATCTTCAAATACTTCAACGTGTCGGAGTCTTCGAAGAAAGGTGTGTGGCAAACAGTGAAGAACGCCCTCAACGGCAGGGCACGCAAAGCACGCACTGGCGCCAGCAACGCCGAGCCTATTCAGCAACAGGATCCGTCAACTGTGACCACTGCGCTAAGGACTCCATCTTGGGGAGAAGAGGTGTACACTTACGATGAGGACTCCTTTGGAAATCTTCTTGAAATATAACACTGCTTCGCACCAGAAAATAGCCTACTTTCTTTTTTATGACTTGTGGTTTACTGTGATATGCGAGAATTTTGAAATAAATTTTTTTTCGATTGCTGCAGTATCCTGTAACCATCTTGTTGCGGACTGTTGGGCGTCCGTTGGGATGTGAAAGAGGTCCTACGGCAATTGTGGTGTAAGATGCTTAGGTCATCGGCCACGGTGACACGGCTAATTAGCTCGCCGGTCGAGTGTTCGCGGGAAGAGAAGGCAGGCAGTGCCAAAATTGGAAGTAATAATGAGGAAATTTCCTGACTTACCCTTCATATCATTACATAGTGTTTTCGATGAGTATTCGAATGATATAACTTTTGGGAGGTTTCCTTTCGATGAAAAAATGTGAAAATTCCTCTCAAACAAGGGCCCGAAATTGACAGCTGGTGGCAGAGAGGAACTTGAAAAGCTTACTATCAGCAGGGTAGGTTAATTAGAAGAGGTACACTATTCAGCTGAATG